AGACCTATGGACGATATGGTTATGCCAGACTGTTTTCTGTATTTTTTTGCTGTTCAACTGGTTACTGTACATTGGTGGATGGAGCCAGACCTCTCCAACACTTCTATTGTCTTGGAGGTGCAGATTTTACAATCCTTGGAAGCTCTACAGTTTCTAGTGTTTAGGGGCCCCAGATCACCACATAGTCTCACCCCATCTATGCGCACCACCCTCCGGGCCTCAGAGGCAGGGCTTAGATTGGAATCTCTCCCCCCAGTACTTGCTACCCGCATACCCTGCTGTGGTTATATCCTTCTCTTCCTCATTTCACCTCCCTTCCGGACCTTGGAGCACATCACGGGTCGTGGCAAGCGCCTTTCTTTTCCCAGTCTTCAAGCTAAATTCAATTTGCCCCCCCGCATTCCTACTTCAGATATCGTCAGATCTCCCATGCCTTTAGAGGTCAGTTCCCTGTTCGACCGCTCTCCCTTTACTATTCTGAGTTGGAGTCTGTCCTTTGTGTACCACGAAAGAAAAAACCCCTATGGAATGAACCCCTCTTTTTCTCCAGTATGCTGGCATTGTTCTCATGAAGACGGGGAGTTTTTTCATATCTTTTGGACCTGTCCTGTTATTACCGTATTTTTCGCTCCATAAGACGCACCTGACCATAAGACCTAGGTTTTAGAGGAGAAAAACAAGAAAAAAAATATTCTGAACCAATGGACTGCAGACACAGTACAGGAGATGACCAGAGACTGCGGACACAGTACAGGAGATGACCAGAGACTGCGGACACAGTACAGGAGATGACCAGAGACTGCGGACACAGTACAGGAGATGACCAGAGACTGCGGACACAGTACAGGAGATGACCAGAGATGACCACGACGGACACAGTACAGGAGATGACCAGAGACTGCGGACACAGTACAGGAGACGACCAGAGACTGTGGACATATTATAGGAGATGACCAGAGACTGCGGACATACTACAGGAGATAACCAGAGACTGCGGACACAGTACAGGAGACGACCAGAGACTGCGGACACAGTACAGGGGATGACCAGAGACTGCGGACACAGTACAGGGGATGACAGTACAGAGATGACCAGAGCGGACACAGTACAGGGAATTACCAGAGACTGCGGACACAGTACAGGGATGACCAGAGACTGCGGACACAGTACAGGAAATGACCAGAGACTGCGGACACAGTACAGGGGATGACCAGAGACTGCGGACACAGTACAGGAAATGACCAGAGACTGCGGACAAAGTACAGGAATGACCAGAGACTGCGGACAAAGTACAGGGATGACCAGAGACTGCGGAGGGACCTGTGGACCTTTGGGAGGGAGGGGGAGCCGGTACCTGAATTTGACAGGTACCCACTCCCACTTCCTCTGAGTTGTCCTCTCTTTAGTGCGGGCATCTAACTGTGCTGGGTGCCCACTGTGCGTGCGTGAGAAGTGCTGCGCTTTGTGAATGGTCCAGCGCATTCTGGGACCTGTCATGTGTCCCAGAAGACGCCGGAGCATTCACAAAGCACAGCGCTTCTCGCGCATGTGCAATGGACACCCGGCTGTCTCAGCCAGTTGCCCACACTAAAGTTGCCGGCGCGGGAAGACTGCACAGCGCTGGACCGAGGAACAGGTAAGGTCCTGCTGCAGAGGAGAGCTGAGCAGCCGGCTCCGGTATTCTGACACGGTGGCGGCGGCGGAAATACCGGACCGGCCGCTCCATATTCGCTCCATAAGACACACTGACATTTTCCCCCCTTTTTTTGGGGGAAAAAAGTGCGTCTTATGGAGCGAAGAATACGGTATGTCCTTTTGGCAGGCAGTATTACATACAATTGAAGAAGTAGTGCATATTAGTATTCCCCTTGACCCGAAATTCTGTTTATTGGGGCTGATAGAATTTCTGGCTCCCGCTGTAGTTTAGCGTACCATATTAATAGTCCTGTTTTATGCTCGTAAAACAATCGCTCTACACTGGAAAAACCTATCTCCCCCTGCCGTGACCTACTGGAAACATCTGGTGAATTCTGATATACCCCTTTATCGGACTACCTAATTCTAACAGAGGGTGCCCCCACAAATTTTATAAAATTTGGTCATGTTGGCTTGATAATATTTCTACCGCCACTGCGACAGCTGATGTGGGGAATTGATTGATTGATTGATAGTCAACCAGGTGCTTTGTTTTTCTGCTGTAAGCTGGGTTCCCTTCTATATGTTATATTGTCTATAAATGATTAGGCCTTGAATATTATGTGTGGTCCCCCCTTCTTTTTGTTTTTCTCCCTTGGGTTGTTTTGAACCGTTGTTGTTTCATGCATACTCTGTTGGGCTGTGACCCTGCCCCTGTGTGGGCGTCTGTTGTCTGTATGTTTTTATATGTTTAACATAAAATAAGATTAAAAAAATAAAAAGCTATGTATTTAAGCCTTATCGTCTATATTTTTTTAAAAAATATACGGCAAACATGGTTTCACACATATGTATTATAGCAATGAAATGTGTACAAATAAGATATAAAAATTACAAAACACCCCAATACAGTTATTTGTTCTAATTTTTTAAAAACCCGTCATGATATTTCCATTTGTGTTATGGAATTGTGTTTGTGGTTGCATAAATTAAAGCAATTAAGGACAGCTGTTTTCACTTGTTATCCATCATTTTCTTCACTCTCCACAATTATGGTTCCACTGTCCTCTTTCAGAAGTTTTCCACCTGTAATAAGAAAAAAAAAAAATAATGTGGTTAAAAAAGGATCCAAAGGCTTCATAAAATATGTGAAAAATAATCTTAATTGTTTTAAAAATTGTTAAATTAAAAATTGTTGATTTCACCACTTGGGCCCCATTCACACTTAGCTTTCCGTGGGTCACACATAGTGCAGCCCATTCACATGAACGACCTTCCCTATGCATGACAAACTTGCCAAAGAAGCTCCAGTACCTTTTCAGGCGTGGTGCAGTCCACAACAAAGTGCACACCTGCTAACCACATTTGGGGTGACATTAAGAATGATTCTGCCCACAGTTCTGATACACTAAGATGTGAACGTATGGCAGATCACAGGTTCGTTGTTGGGGTTGATTAGCATATGATCTATCTGACTGATGGGTTGGGAATGGAACTTCTTTTTTGGTCCTGGGGCAGGGCCATGCAGACATGTCCTTGGACTTTGCTGGATTCAGTTTTCAGGGTCCATTCATACAAGGTACTGTGGGACTGCGCTGAACGGAAAAATGTCTTGTCTCCTGTGTGCCCAGTTCCAGTGGTGTGTGGGCAGTGTTTGCACCATATGGTGACCTGTTGAACTTAATGAAATGTCAGTAAGTTTGTTTTAAAAAAAATAGTGAACAATCATTGAGAGATCATGCCAGACCAGACCACACTGTTCTGAATTAGCCCTCACACTGGTAACTCAGCACTGCAGATTACAGAGGGATATTGTGGCTCTCCCTGTGTAATCAGTATCACTAGGGTAAAGAAAGCAGAAAGAATACACATAATAAGCCTTATTTTATATAGTGCCTTTAACCCCTCGCCTGCCGCGCACTTCTACCCCCTTCCTGCCTACCGGGCACGTCTACCCCCTTCCTGCCTACAGGGCACTTCTACCCCCTTCCTGCCTACCGGGCACTTCTACCCCCTTCCTGCCTACAGGGCACTTCTACCCCCTTCCTGCCTACAGGGCACTTCTACCCCCTTCCTGCCTACAGGACACTTCTACCCCCTTCCTGCCTACAGGGCAATTCTACCCCCTTCCTGCCTACAGGGCACTTCTACCCCCTTCCTGCCTACCGGGCACTTCTACCCCCTCCCTGCCTACAGGGACACTTCTACCCCCTTCCTGCCTACAGGGCACTTCTACCCCCCTTCCTGCCTACAGGGCACTTCTCCTGCCTACCCCCCTTCCTGCCTACAGGGCACTTCTACCTCCTTCCTGCCTACCGGCACTTTTAATCCCCCTCCTGCCCTACAGGACACTTCTTTTTCCTGCCTACAGGGCACTTCTACCCCCTTCCTGCCTGCCGGGCATTTTGTACCCCCTTCCTGCCTACAGGGCACTTATACCCCTTTTTGCCTAAACAGGGCATTTTTCCGGCACTTCTACCCCCTTCCTGCCTACAGGACACTTCTACCCCCCTTTCCTGCCTACTGGGCACTTCTACCCCCTTCCTGCCTACCGGACACTTCTACCCCCTTCCTGCCTACTGGGACACTTCTACCCCCTTCCTGCCTACAGGGCACTTCTATCCCCTTCCTGCCTACAGGGCACTTCTACCCCCTTCCTGCCTACAGGACACTTCTACCCCTTCCTGCCTACAGGGCACTTCTACCCCCTTCCTGCCTACCGGGCACTTCTACCCCCTTCCTGCCTACCGGGCACTTCTACCCCCTCCCTGCCTACAGGGCACTTCTACCCCCTTCCTGCCTACAGGGCACTTCTACCCCCCTTCCTGCCTACAGGGCACTTCTATCCCCTTCCTGCCTACAGGGCACTTCTACCTCCTTCCTGCCTACCGGCACTTCTACCCCCTTCCTGCCTACAGGACACTTCTACCCCCTTCCTGCCTACAGGGCACTTCTACCCCCTTCCTGCCTGCCGGGCACTTGTACCCCCTTCCTGCCTACAGGGCACTTCTACCCCCTTCCTGCCTACAGGGCACTTCTACCCCCTTCCTGCCTACAGGACACTTCTACCCCTTCCTGCCTTCTGGGCACTTCTACCCCCTTCCTGCCTACAGGACACTTCTACCCCCTTCCTGCCTACTGGGCACTTCTACCCCCTTCCTGCCTACAGGGCACTTCTACCCCCTTCCTGCCTACCGGGCACTTCTACCCCCTTCCTGCCCAGGCCAATTTCCAGCTCTCAGCGATGTCACACTTTGAATGACAAATTGCGCGGTCATGCAACACTGTACCCATATGACATTTTTATCTTTTTTTTAGACAGATAGATCTTTATTTTGGTGGTATTTAATCACCTCTGGGGATTTTTATTTTTTCTTAAACCAAAAACCGCTGAAAATTTTGAAAAAAAAAGTTTTTTCTTAGTTTTTGTTATACAATTTTGTAAATAAGTGATTTTTCTCCTTCACTGATGTGCGCTAATGAGGCTGCAGTGATGGGCACTGATAGGCTGCACTGATGGGCACTGATGAGGAGGCACTGGTAGGTTGCACTGATGGGCATTGACAGGCATCACTGATGGGCACTGAAAGGCAGCACTGATACATGACACTGATATATGGCACTGATAGGCAGCACTGACAGGCACTGACTGGCACTGATAGGCAACACTGACTGGCACTGATAGGTGGCACTGATTGGCAGCACTGATAGGTGGCACTGATTGGCATTGATAGGTGGCACTGACTGGCACTGATGGGTGACATTGAAAGGCAGCTCAGATGGGCACTGATATGTGGCATTGATGTGCACTGGTATGCACTGATATGTGGACTTGATGTGGCACTGATGGGTACTGGTACGTGGCACTGATGAGCACTGACAGGTGGCACTTGTGGGGCCACACTGATCATCAGTGCCCTGATGATCAGTGTACATATCCCCTCCGCGGAAAGCCGATTACCGGCTCTCCTCTCCTCTGTCAGCGTGACAGCTCGAGAAGAGAGAAATGCCGATAACCGGCATTTCCGTGTTTACATGTGATCAGCTGTGATTGGACACAGCTGATCACATGACCGAGCCGACATCTTCGGCTCTTTCCATGATCCCCTGTGTCCGAGGGACACAGCGCACCGGCGATCGCCGCGCTGCGTGCTCCATGAGCCGCGCATGCGCAGTGAGAATGGTAGGACATCATATGACGTCCTATCAGAACGAGGGAACCGCCTTGCGCCCGTCATTTTACTATATGGCGGGCGGGAAGGTGGTTAAAGGTAGCTTCTAAAAGAGAGTTACAAAAACAAGAGAAAGGCAGAGCATGTGTAATCTACAGGACTGGGCAGGAAGTTTGACAGTTTTGTGCTGCTCAAGATTAAGCTATAAATGAAAGCTATTGCTGTAACATTTAATTATAAATTACTATATAGTGTATTTTAGTACCATTTTAGCACCTTATTACCATTAGTCAGCTCCATTCAATTGTAATCATTAATTCCTTCATCCATTTCTTGTATGTAAACTTTTTTACGTTTGAATTCATTTGTGTTTGTAGCACCAAATAAATAAATAAATTTTATACCAGAAACATAATTCTAGTGTCCTGATTAAAGAGAATAACATTAGTGCCACCATAATTAATTTTGATTAACCCTAAAATTTGTATGTAAACGTTTAGTTAAACCTGATTACCCTGGACTTAGTAAGCAGGAGTTTGGATTTAGATGACTTGTGGATAGAAATGTGACCCTTGGGCCCTTTTAAGGTGGACATCACTGCCATAGATTGTTCCAGTAACCCCTAATTTAATTCTGTAAAATAGTAAACAGTTATTTATAAAGTACCGGTAAAGTTATATTTTTTTATATATTACCTACAGTATGTTTGAATATAAATATCATTTAAAAAAAAGTATTCCTCAAAGGTTACCTTAAAGTGGTTTTAAATCTTAGTTTTTTTTTTTAATTAAAATAATAAACATGTTTTTTACTTACCTGCTCTGTGCAATGGACCCCGCCAGCACTCCTGGCACGTCCTCCTCATCCAGTGCCCCCATAGGAAGCCACTTCCTATGGGGGCACTCGTCCATCTCCCATCTCCACTCCCCCATCACAGAGCTTGATTGACAGCAGTGGGATCCAATGGTTCTCAGCTGCAATTGATCTACCTAGTGAGGAGGGACAGAGCCAGCATAGCAATGGATCGCAATGGGGCTCAGCTAAGTATAAGGAGGGCTGGGAGGGGGGGATTCCAGGCACCAAAGGTCTTTTACCTTAACTCAGAGAATGCATTACATTAAAAATCTTAAAGTGGTATTAAAGGCATTTTTTTTTGTTTTAAAATAGCAAACATGTTATAGTTACCTGCTCTGTGCAGTGGGTTTGCACAGAGCAGCCCCGATTCTTCTCTTTTCTGGTCCCCCGCTGGCGCTCCTTGCCTTTCCCTTCTGCCGAGTGTTCCCAGAGCAAGCAGCTTGCTCTGGGGGCACCCAAGCAGGCTTACTCTCTAGCCGCTGCTCTGCATGTCCATTCACACACAGAGCTATGGCTCGGCCCCACCCCCTTCTCTCCTTATTGGCTCACTGGCTGTGATTGACAACAGTGGGATCCAATGGCTCCAGCTGCTGCCTCAACCAATGAGGAGGGAGAGTCCCTGGATAGTATTAGGGGGGGCTGAAGCACACAGACGTTTTAGTGATATTGTACTACACAGCACTTACATAGTGCCGACAGTTTGCTCAGCGCTTTACGTTTGAATAGATATATATGGTCTACAGCACACTTGTTACTTTGAACTGATAATCATCCACTATCCACTAGTCTTATTACTTTTAATTACATGATGTTTACTAATATTATTTTTATCATCATTGCCAGTGTTATTACTACGATTATTTTTATACATTTTATTTAAAAAAAAAATTATTTATCTACATTTGCAGATGATATATTCATGTATTTTAAATTTTTTATTTGCTTTGTCTCTTAGTTCATGTATGTATCTTTGTATATGTGTATATCCATGTGTATATATGTATGTATATGCGTTTATAAAAACTACAAAAGATTGCACTTTAAATAACCCCCTCCAACCCCCTCCAACCCAATTGCACTTTAAATAACCCCCTCCAACCCCTCATCTTATAACAAGCAGAGGAGGTGGAGCTTTGCTCCCAAGGCATCTAGCCCTTGTTATTTACTACTTGACCTTCATACAGGTTGGTCATCAGCTCTGAGGAAAGGGACTCGTCCCCGAAACGCGTCAGCAATTTGACCGCACCGACAGTGAGAACACCTTGCCTGCCGTTGTGGCCATGGTCATTTTTCTATGCTTTTTAGATACATGCTTTGTCTGTGAGTATGTTTTTATTTTTTCACTCCTCACAATAAACCTTGGACAATGCACTAGGTGTGTGCGCCACCTGTTTTCTCTCTATCCAGTGGCTGATTTCCCCGTCTGAGGAGGGCTGCACCCCTGAAGCATTTCCTTTGGTTGTCGCTTTCCTGGTACCCTTGGCTTCCCTTTTGGCTGTGCATATCCTGAGGCGCTGGAGAGTACATACGATATCCAATGTACCTTGGACCCAACTTACATGACGGGCACGGGAGTTTTAGATTGGCAGTTGATAGCCAAACTTTGTCTCCAATCTTCAGAGGAGGGTTTCCTCTCTGTTTACTGTCATAGTGTTTCTTATAATCAGCATGGGATTTCAGTATAGACTCTCGGAGGACTTTACAGTTCTGTAGCATGGAGAGTCTGTCCTGTACTGCGGGTACCAAAGCTTCAGGAATGGTGTCAGGTATGGAGGAAGGGTGGAATCCATAACTGGCCTAAAATGGCGACTGGTTTGTGGCAGAATGGACTGAGTTGTTGTAGGCAAATTCTGCCAATGGGAGTAGAGATGCCCAATCATCCTGAGAAAAGGCAAATAAACACCGTAAATATTGCTCCAAAGTCTGGTTCGTTCGCTCTGTTTGCCAGTTACTCTGGGGATGGTAGGCGGACGATAAGCACCTTCAGGGCTTTGCAGAGGGCTCTCCAGAACCTGGACGTAAACTGCACCCCTCGGTCTGAGATGATATTACTGGGCAGACCATGTAACCTGACAATCTCTTTGATGAAGATTAGTGCAGTCTCTGGTGCAGATGGCGTACCCACCATTGGTAAAAAGTGGGCCATCTTGAATAGCCGATCCACTACTACCAGAATGGTAGTAAACCCTTCTGAGGGCGGCAAATCCACAATGAAGTCCATTGCGACCATCTCTCAGGGAAGATCAGGAATGGGCAGGAGTCTCAGCAACCCTCAGGCCTTAGCTTTGTCTCCTTTGTTCCGCAGAAGCACTGTGCACGACTTCACATAAGCTCTACAGTTATGTTTCAGGTTGGGTCACCAGAAGGATCACTGGATTAGTTCCATTTTCTTACGGGCTCCAAAGTGTCCAGCCAGTTGATGGTCATGAAAAGCCCTTAACACTTGAGACCTCACTTCTTGGGGTACAAAGATTTTTTCCTTGTGCCACAGAAGACCATCCTGCCTTCTAAGCGAATTTTGTTCAGCTTCAGGGCATAGTGCAGAGGCTTGCTTGATCAAAGACTTTAGGCTGGGTTGGATCAGCAAAAAATTTTGGGCCGACAAAAAGGTGTTGGGGGGAGAAGGCTCCTCTGGGTCCGGGAACATGCGGGAAAGGGCATCTGCCTTCCCGTTCTTGGATCCTGGGCGGTAGGTCATGTGGAAGTTAAACCTGGAGAAGTATAAAGCCCATCTAGCCTGTCAAGGTCTTAGGCGCTTGGCGGACCTTAGATACTCCAGATTTTTATGATCTGTGAAAATCATAATTGGGTGGCTGGCTCCTTCCAAGAGATACCTCCATTCTTCGAAGGCTATTTTAATCGCTAAAAGTTCCCTATCTCCCACATCGTAGTTCTTTTCGGCTTGGCTCAGTTTTCTAGAACAAAAGGCTATTGGGTGAAGCAGAGCCTTTGGGCCCTGGCACTGGGAGAGTACGGCACCTGTAGCAACTTCAGATGCGTCTACCTCCAGGATGAAAGGGAGTGTTGGCTCTGGATGCTGTGACACAGGAGCGGAGGTGAATTGATCTTTTAATTGCTCGATTGCTTTCTGAGCTTCCTGGCGCCAGCAAAATCATGTATGCTGGTGGGTAAGTTGAGTAATAGGGGCAATGATTGTGGAAAAGCCCTTAATAAATTTCCTGTAAAAGTTGGCGAAACCCACAAATCTTTGGACCCCTTTCCTGTCTGAAGGTGCAGGCCAATCCAGGATAGCAGATACTTTCTGAGGGTCCATGGAGATCCCCTCGGTGGAAATTATGAGCTCCAGGAACTGAATGGACTGCTTCTCAAACTCACACTTCTCCACCTTGGCGTACAAGCCATGCATCCTTAGAGTGTTTTTAGCACTTTCCTAACGTGATCCCGATGGAGTTCCAGTGAGGTAGAGAAAATTAGGATATCCCCTAGGTAGACAATCACAAAAAGGTCTAGATATTCTCTAAAGATGTTGTTCACAAAATTTTGGAACGTAGCAGGGGCATTACATAGCCCAAATGGCATCAATAAATATTAAAAATGTCCAAAGCGTGTTCTGAAGGCTGTCTTCCACTCATCGCCCTCTCTTATATGGACTAAATTGTAGGCCCCCCGTAAGTCCAATTTAGTGAAGACTCGGGCTGTTCGAAATCTCTGAAATAACTCGGGCACCAGAGGAAGAGGCTACCGGTTTTTGATGGTAATTTTATTAAGTTCCCTGTAGTCAATGCATGGTTTAAGAGACCGATCTTTTTGTTCTACAAAGAAAATACCAGCCCTGGCAGGAGAGGAGGAGCGGTGGATGAATCCTTTAGCGAGATTCTCATCTAGATAGTGCCGGAGGGCTTCCAGTTCAAGCTCAGATAATGGGAAAATTCACTCAAATGGTATTTCTGCTCCTGGGGAGTAACTCAATTGGGCCATCATAAGACGGATGAGAAGGCAATGTGTTGGCCTTCTTTTTATCAAACACATTGAGGAAGTCATGGTAGTTAGAGGGAACTAGTTGACTGGCCTCTGGTGAAGGTAGGACTAAGAGACACACGGAAGAATTGGTGGGTGTAGGGGCACCACAGTGTTGTAGATAATATTCTAAAGAAAAGATGATTTCCTTCTTGAGCCAATTCATCTGTGGGTTGTGGGCTTGCAACCAGGGTATTCCTAGGATGGCTGGAAACATGGGTATCTGATC